TAGACATACAAGTATAGGAAGCACTGAGAGTCCCAAACAAGATGGATGCAAAGAGGTCCACAACAAGACACATCATAATTAAAATGCCAAAGGTTAAAGAGAGAGAGATTTGAGGAATCAAGATGGCAGAGGAGTGAGTGGAAGTCCCACTGACCTCCTCCCAGGAAAAACCTGGAATAAAAACTAAATTGTGGAGAAATCACCTGGAACAAACAACTGAACAATAGTGAGAGAGGAGCCTTGTAACCTTGGAGACAGAAGAATCAGCTTTAGCGCAATCTAACCAGTAAGGAGTGCAGTACAGACTTGAGAAGGCAGGCAGGGCGCCCACGGGCGGCAGCACCAGGAGGATATTGAAGCGGCCAGTTGGATCCCCCTGAGAAGAGCAGGGTCTAAACCAAAAGCGGGGATCTCTAGCCCACAGCACCAGAGCCCAAAGTGTACACAGAAACCAGCCAGCTGAGAAAAGTGGCAGGGTTGCTCTCTGCCAGAGACAGGTGGCTAGAGACTCAAAGTGCCTTTTAAAGGGCCAAGGCAAAATTCTTATTTGCAGCCACTTACCCTGGTCTCTGGCAAAGGCGAGGGCAGAGTGGACTAGAGACACCTGAAGAGAGACTGGGTACGGAGGATTTGGGGAGAGAAAGGGGAGAGTAGCCTGTGGAATCCCAGTGCTGACTCCTCTGCCATACGGCAGCAGTGTGAGAAGACCCAATAACTCCGCCCCGAGGAGGGACTCTGTCCTGCCCTGAGCTGTCTAAGGCAGCCTGCTGAAGGCAGAGTGACTAGATTAACAGCTGAAGGAGGCAGCCACAAACAGTAGATTCCTGGAAGTCTCGAACAGACTGCCTAAGGTCAGACAGGGTCAACATCTGACATCATCAGGGGCAGATCCAGAAAGTAAAAACAGCGGTTTCCTCCCATAGAAGTTCACACCACAAAGTCAGGAAATCAAGACAGATCAACTTAAGAAGCAGAAGCAAAAGAGAAGAGTCTCACAAATAATGGGAAGACAAAGAAACACCCCCCACTCGAAAGGAAAGGAGGAACCCCAGAAAGAGAACTAAATGAAATAGAGACAAGTAAACTATAAGATACTGAGTTCCAAACAATGGTTCTAAGGAAGCTCCATGAGCTCAGTGAGCTCAGAAAGAATTACCAAAAACTACAGGGAAACTAAGAGGAACTTATTGCAAATTATATCAGCATGGAAAAAGACATAGAAACTATCAATAAGAGACAAGAGGAAATGAAGAATACAATTTCTGAATTGAAGAACATAGTACAAGGAATCCAAAGCAGGCTACATGAAGCTGAGGACCGAATCAGTGAGCTGGAAGACAAGGTAGCAAAAAGCTCCCAGAAAGAGCAAGAAAATGAAAAAAGACTCAAAAAAAATGAAGAGATGTTTAGGGAAATGCAGGACAACCTGAAACATTGTAATATCCGTATACTAGGGATACCAGAAGGAGAAGAGGATGAGGAAGGAATAGAGAACCTGTTTGAAAAAGTAATGATGGAACACTTCCCTAATTGGAGGAGGAAAAAAGTCACAGAAGTCCAGGAAGCACAGAGGGTCCCATTCAAGAGGAACCCAATGAGGCCCACTCCAAGACACATCATCATTAAAATGGCAAATATCAAAGACAAACAGAGAATCCTAAAGAAAGCAAGGGAGAAAGAGGTAGCAACATATAAGAGAGCCCCTATACGGCTAGCAGCTGACTTCTCAAGGGAAACACTGCAAGACAGAAGGGAATGGCAAAAAATATTCCAAGTCATGAAAAGCAAAGGTCTGCAACCAAGACTGTTCTACCCAGCAAGGCTCTCAATTCAAATGGAAGGCTCTCAATTCAAATGGAAGGCAAAATAAGGAGTTTCCCAGACAAAAGAAGGCTAAAAGAATACACCTCCACCAAACCAGCACTGCAAAATATGCTAGAGACTGCTTTAAGAAAATGAAGCGTCTATGAATACCCAGTTCCTTTCACAGTTGCCAATACTTGATATTACCAATATTTTTTAATATGTATTCATGATTGTGACAATGATGTTATTTTGTTACTTTATTATTTGTTAAAAGTAAACCTGTTTTGTATATTTCTTGCCTATTTCTATTATTTTGAAAAAGCTTTAAATGACTTTTTTGTACTCTTTATCCATTTTTTAATTGAATGTTTGTAGACTTTTTTCCCTAAAAAAACCCCAAAAACCATTAACCCTTTTTTAGATGTGTTGCAAATACATTCCAATTCTATTACTTGTCCTCTAACTTTTTTTTTATAGGTATATTACTGTACAGTCTTAAATGCTTAATATAGTCATACTGTCAATATTTTACTTTATAGCTTCTGGGTTTGAATATTTTACTTCAGGGTAAGAAAAATATAATTTTGTGTTTTCTCCTAAAACTCCTTAGATTCTACATGTTGATTTTTAACTCACCTGAGTATTCCTTGAATAATATGTGAAATAGGGCTCTATGTTTTATTTCAAGTAATAGTGGTCCATGTACCTTATTTGTTGAATAAGCCTTATTTTACCCATTGATTTGAAATATCAACTTAATCATATATTACATTGTTAGACAGATATACATGTTTGTCTCTAGAATGCCCATTATATTTCACTGATCTACTTGATTATTTCTGTGCTGGTGTCATGTTGGTTTAATTGCTAAGACTTTATAATCGTTTTAAATTTTTAAATATTTAATAATTAACTTTGACATTTAAAATATAGATAAAATCAATCTACATTTAAGAAAGAAAGAGAGAGAGATGGAACTCCTACCTTTTGCGACAACATGGGTGGAATTGAAGATAATTAAGCTAAGTGAAACAAGCCAGTTAATGAAAGACAAATACCATATGATCTCACCTATAAGTGGACTCTATTCAACAAAATACTAATGAACGAAATAAACCACAGGCACGGAAACGTGGAGCAGACTGAAAGTGACCAGAGGGGAGGGGGAAGAGGACAATGGTGGAAAGAAGGAGAAGGGACTAGACAAAGAACGTGTATGAATGACCCATGGACATGGACAACAGAGTGGGAATTGACTGCGGGAGCAGGGGGTGGGGGTGAGATGGGTGGAGGGGGTTACAGGAGGAAAAATAGAGACAACTGTAATAGAATAAACATTATTTATAAATTTAAAAAAATTAAAAATGAATCAATTAAAAAAATTGAGGTCAAAAAATAAAATAAAAAAGAGAGAATCTTAAAAACACCAAGAGAAGTTAGTTCCCTACAGGTGAGTTCCCATAAAACTTTCAACTGATTTCTCAAAAGAGTCTTTGCAGGTTAGAAGGGATTGACAAGACATATTCAAAGTCGTGAAAAGCAGGGACCTATAGACAAGATTGCTCTACCCAGAAAGCTATCATTTAGAATCAAAGGGCAAATTAAGAACTTCCTAGACAAGAAAAAGCTAAAGAAGTTGATCATCACCAAACCATTATTATATGAAATGTTAAAGGGGCTTACTTAAGAAAAAGATCAAAACTATGAACAATAAAATGGCAATAAATACATATATATCAAGAATTGAAGCTAAAAAACAAACTAAGCAAGCAAGGAGACAGAATCATGGATACAGAGAGCATTCTGATGGTTGCCAGATGCGAGGACAGCGTGGGGGAATGGGTGAAGAGGTGAGGGGATTAAGAAGTACAAATAGGTAATTACAGAACAGCCATGGGGATGTAAAATACAGTATAAGGAATGAAGTAGCGAAAGAATTTACATGCATGACCCATGGACATGAACCATGGTGGGGGGATTGCTTGAGGGAGGTGAGGGTGCTGGGTGGAAGGGAGCAAAGATGGAAAAATCAGGACAAATGTAATAGCATAATCAATAGAATATAATTTTTAAAAACTTAATGATAGCTTTACACAAAAAGAATCCCATAGAAGAGAACTGAGTGTATTTACATTGCTGAGGAAGCTTTGTGAAAACAAATGAAGTGACTGGCACAATTGTTAAATGGTATATGGACTCTAGATTAGATACTATTATTGTATCCATGTTAAATTTCCTGAGCTTGATCAGTGTATTGTGGCTATGTAAGAGAATGACTTTGTTCTTAAGAAATACACATTGAAGTATTTTAGGGAAAGAAGGGTCTCATTTTCTTAAATGAGAAAGATAAAGGAAACAGCAAAATGTTAATAAGTGAATCTGGGTGAAGGATATAAAGGAACTCCTTGCACTATTCTTGAGGGTCTTCCATTAATTAGCTTGAAATTATTTCAAAGCAAAACATTTACACATACAAAATGAAGTAATTTTAGTTTGATGTACTTAAACACTGTATTTGTAGACATTCAGTTTTTTCAAGGGATTGATTTAACAGCAAGTATTCTCCTTCAAAACACTTATTCTATAAAGTCTTTCCAAATTGCAAGGCCACCTTCAGAAGAAAATGAATTAATGAAACAATTCATGTCTATCTCATGCTTTGAAACGACCCCTTTAATAATAAATAAGTGATGTTTTTTCTAACAATGGATAATCATTTACATTTGATTATTTGTTTATGTTAATATCAAGTCACCCCTTTGGTATTTTATATTTCTGAATCAGTATACCATTTATATTTGTATAGAAGAGGTTTATATTGTCTCTCTTCTTTTGTATTGCACACAGCAATCAACAGACAGCTGAGCAGAATCTTAGTATCCAGCAATGCAACTTTAACAAACAGGTTGCATTGCATTGTAAGTGTTTAACAAACACTTATAAAAACAATCAGAGAAGATTCCATGGACTGTTAATCTCACAAGACAGAATCCTAGCATGCTCAAATTTCTCGTCCTACAGAAAGAATTTCCAGGTGTAGTTACAAAACCATAATTAATCACAGCAGAAACCAGTTTCAAATTTCAGTTTTTAAAACAGTCCTTGATGTCAAAAAGATATAAAAGGACTGTATAAAGAATGAAAGGCAAGGAAAATTTGAAAAATTAATTTATTATATGAAGAAACATAAACAATATTAGCATCAATGGCTGTAGAGCAGCAGCCTGCAAAAACTCACATCCACAATATATGGCTGAGAAGTACTGACATATACACTCATAAATATAGCACGAATTTTCCAAGGTGATTTCAAAAAAAAAAATGCTTCACTTGACAATCAATTTTAACATTTGTTTTCCCATTTACAAGGTTGAAAAGAGTAAACCCACATTCAGTAAAAGTCTAGCAGGATCTCAGGCATTTGAGTTGTAAATGACCAAAACATGCTGCTATGTCCTTTATGAAAGATGATAATATACAAAAATCATAAACTCATCTGCCATCAAAAGCAATTTCTCAGATTATAGTGGGTCTTCTCCCTCCAAGAACTGTGCGTTTGGGTGCAATTTTTGTAAGCAAGTAATGGTAAGAGAAGGGCAAGGGCTGAGTTTTCTCCAAGGGTAAAGACAGCTTGCACTTGCCCTTCCATAAGGCCAAAGGCCAATGTATTTACTCAAGACACTCATGTGGATGATCCTACTTGTTTCTTTTATAACAGTAAAAAAATAATAATAATAATAACCTGGTATCCATTTAAATAACTATAATAACAACTCCTTCAATATACATGGCACTTGAAAAATATTTTCAAAGCATTTTCACACTATAATTTAAGTTGATCTTTCCAACAACCTTGTGAGGTAGGTTGGGCAAGTACAATATATCATCCAAATTTGGTGGGTGGGGAAACTGAGGCATGCAGCAGTTAAGTAACTTGTAGGGCTTGACAGGGAGATGCCAATCTCTATACTGCACTGTCTCCAGTAATGAAGAGAGAAAGTCTAAACATGTCTGATGATCTTATTTCAATATATTTTAAGAAAATACTTGACTTCCATTGAGCCAAATGACAGTAATTCAATTAGAGCAGCTGTCATGACAACCTATGGCATATAATTAATTAGACAAAGCACTGAGAGTTTTAAAAATTAGACTTCTAACTGAAAACCACATTTTAACTCTCAACACATAAGGTAATTTGCTAGTTTGCTTGTCTTTAGGGTGACCTAGATCTGCAGCCTGAACTACAGTTTTACGATTTCAGAGATAGAATCTAAATAATTTTAAAACAAAAATTCTTATTTCTCCATGGCTTGAATTTTCACTGTACAGAAAAAAATAGTGGTTTCTCTCTTCCAAAGTGAATGGACACACACACACCCAAAGCAAAGAGTTAAAGATGACAAAATATCCAGTTTAGTTACCAAACCTCTTTGTCCTTATATAAGCTGCTTATAATTGGGCTTTGGGAATCTGACAGGTCATCACTATTAGTTTGATTTGAGGTCACTCAAAATCCTTACCTATTTTCTACATTAAAATAATTTAAAATGTACTTGAACACTCAAATTTTATAACAGTTCTTGAAGCAGGTTTCCAAACCAAGGCTGGGAAGTACCAGTCTCTCTATCCCTGTCTAATTCTGACTACTACTTCTGCTCAAACTCACCATTTTTAACCTGTCCCTTCACAGACTAGCTGTTAGAAACTGGATGGATCAGAAGGCTCAGCCAAGTATTTAGACTGTCAACCCTGACTGACCTGTAATGTCCAGCCTAGTTGGTGATAGGTCACCTGCTTCTAGTTATTTCATTCTCAAGGTGCTTATGGTAGAAATAATGGCACTAAATCCAGGCATTTTTCCAAGACAACTGAGGATATGCTACAAAATCCTTTTATGAAACACATAGGGTTCAGAAAGTATACTGAAAACAGAAGAATAACATTGGAGATCTTGTACCAATTAACATAATCACACCAAATCAAAATGCATTCAGTTAAAGACAAACATCTTCTAGTCATTTCATCACTTTCTATAATTTAATAGTTTCTGAAGTCAATATCTCACTTGGTGGGAGGAGAAAAACCTTTTTTCTTCAACTAGTAAAAAATGAAATGTCCTTTATACCCATGCCAGGTGAAAGATTTCTGTGGAGTTTTCTAGAAATAACTTAAGTTAACCAAAGTATTTTTTTTTAGCTTAACCAAAGTAACTATTGTCTGCAACTTCCCTAACAGGCAAGAAAGAAGCAGAGTAAAGACTACGTGTTTTATTTTCTTCTTTATTAAGAAGGTAAATCTTAGCAAATTCTACCAGAAATTTCCCAGAACTGTAGGACAAGACTGAACTTTGAAGGAGTTTAAGCTTCACATTTTCAGCCTTCTAAAGAACTTAAGAATTCTGCCTATAAAAGCCTACATCATTTTGATTTTTTAAACAATCCTTTTGTTCCAGAACTTCAACATATTGAAGGAACACACAACTTCCCTAAAATTCTCGGGCTCCCATAACCAAATTTAGAATTCAATCTTGTATCCATGGATCTTTGCGTATAAAGTCTCCAAATCTAGACTTCTAAATCAGTTGGAGATAGCAGGCCAAAGTGGCTACAGTTGATTATATAAAGAGAGCCCTAATGAAATGAAAATGGAACACCTGTCTATTCAAAAACCAAACCTGAACAGCTCTGAAAGCTCTAACAGTAATGATGTTGCCAATGGCAAAACCCCAGGAAACGTCTCTGATCATCAGGCCAACTCTTGGGTGAAAACTATGATCAGGGATAATAAAATATTAGTCTACCCAAACCAGAAATCTGGAAAACTAGAAAACAAGAAAGTCCCTGTCCTCATTCTACCTGATAGATCTAACCAGCTCAACTCAGATATCATTGGTACTTTGTCAGTGGAAAGGCCAGTAACACCTGGAAGAACAGTCAACTGTGAATAGTGGTGCCTTAGACAGCTCCTCTAACACTCAGACATTTCCCTGGCTTCTCTCCATAGTTCCCACACATGCAAGAGCTCTCTAAAGGGGAGCAACTCACAAGGAGTTGAGAACTAACTTCTTGCTTTGTTACCTATGCAGGACTCATCACTTGTATGATGAGCAGCAATGACCCCAGAAAACAGTTTGTCTTTGCCCCAAGAGACTCAGGTTCCATTAAGCAGAGCAAAGCTCATCGGCATTCAAGATCTGGGTGGGCATAGATCTTACTTTACTGCTAGAAGGTATCTCATCTCTGTGTCTAGGTATCTCATCTCTGTGTCTAGGTGACCTTACAATTATCTTTCTTACAGACTTTGAGGGCTTCTGTCGCTGGCGCTGACAGCAAATACATTTTAGCCACCGCCGAAAACTTTCAGAAACACTGGTGGAAAAGAGCTTTTTGCAAGGATGGAAGAACTGATAGAATATCAGCATGAATAGAATGGCTATGCAGTATCCAATGAGCAACTTCAAAATCAACATAGGTGCACACACATACATATAAATGTCAGTCTTGTAAATATACCACATAAGGAGGAGGAAGGCGTTCTCAATGAATCTCAGCATGTAGTACACCAGTAGCCGGTACCAGTTCTGGGACTTGCTGATGAGGTCGGGGCTGTTGATTTTCAGCTGCACAGCTGACCAGCAGAACATGTTGATACCAGCATAAAGGAAGGTGAGGAAACACAGGACAATGGTGGTGCCCACTCGACTGAGGGCCTTCTCAATGTTCTCAGGGAATGGGGAGCCACTGCACCAGAAGAGGATCCAGGGGTGTAAGAAGAAGCTGAAGAAGTTGACGAGTATGACCAGCACCACCCAGGCCTTCAGGACGGAGGTAAAGAGGACTAGGACAATGACTCGAGTAGCAATCTCAAAGCTCCTCCAGAGGAAGATGCAGACATAGGCTAGAGGCTTCACTTTGACATCGTATTCATCATACTTGATCTTGATAGCTAGGATGTTGCAGCGCAAGGCTCCATACACAATGGACAACAGGGATAACAACATGCAAACACCTGGGAAGAGATGAGAAAGAGCACTGTCAAGTCTTACCACCATCAAGAATCCTACTATGACAAGCCCTGGCCAGATAGCTTAGTTGGTTAGAATGTCATCCCAATATGCCAAGGTTGTAGGTCAACTGTAGGTCAGGACACATATAAGAATGAATCAATGAATGCATAAAGAAGTGGAACAACAAATCGATATTTCTCTCTCCCTTCCTGTCTTTAAAATTAATTATTTTTTAAAAAGAATAATACTATGGCAGACACTCTGTCAGTCCTCTACCCATTTTCCTTGGACCCTTGTGTTTTCTGTGCACAGGCTGACTTCCACCTGTCAGTTTCTGTGCACTGTGCCTGAGAGCTTTTCCCAGGGCTGTAGAAAACTGCTCTGGCCAGTTGGTGCTGGACAAGAACGTTCTGGAAGAACCCTCATTACTCCAATTGTACCCCTGATAAGAGACGGAATGTAACTACCCTAGCTCCCCCACTCTTTGAATAAAATAATTCTAAGGTATACGTTCTATACCCTTTACCGGTATCTTCTCATAGGATTACTATCTAGTCACCCATGGTGATCCTGTCTGATAATGCTCTGTTTATTGACTGCCTTTCCTTCCCTGTTTCCCTTCCCTTCTCCCATGCTCCTTCCACCTTCCACCTTCCACCAAAAATACATGGACTCAAATTCTTGTCTTGGGGTCTGCTTCAGAGTCAACTCAAACTAAAACACCTTCCTGACCCCATGTTGCTCTGCCTGAATATGTAGAGCAATTTACATGGTGTGTTTTGTTTCCTAAATTGGCTTGTAAGTTTCTGAGGAGTCAAGAGTGACAATGTCTGATATTTCTTTTTGATCTCAACATATATCAGTAATAGGTACACAAACAGAAGGAGCTGAATAATAAACTGCTCAGTGAGTTCTTCTCTATGTGCAGGATCTGTTACATTTATATACCAACTACAGAGTGCTCACTTTCCTTTAGTCTTCAGTTACAGTCCCAAATTCTGCAGATTGCTAAAAAAATGAGAACCTCACTGTTACCAAGAGTCAGTCTGCCTTGGCTGAAAGACCTCAGTGTTTCAAGAAGTCTCAACCCAAAGTTGGTTATTTCTTAAAATGAGATGGCTAATGGGTTTATCCAGTTTATACAAAGGAGGACAAGATGTGGCTCATTTAGATGGAGCATGGTACTGCGTCTGAGAGCATGACACTGTTGGCTGCAAGTTCTACTGTCTAAGAAATGTGTTGCCAACTCATGAGCACAAACTGTGTGGTCAAAACATAATCATTTAACACGTGCTGTCACCAACTCCAGATACTGGAGCAAGGAGGAATGGGAGGCAGGGCTTGGAGTTAAAAACCAAGAATCTAGCTCTGAGTTTAGTCTTGTATTGTCAGGCTACACTGGGAAAATGGCAATCTCTCTGGGTTCTGTTTTTTTACCTATAACATTGAGGTAACACCTTCCACCCCTGCTTCTTAAAATGCAAGGTTGTTATAACATAACTGTGTCTTCCTAAATATATAATTTTAAATGAATGGGAATAAAGGGGTTTTAATCTTATTTAAGTTCTGAATCAATGGAAAAATACCTATATTTGGTGGGCATAAAAACTCTGAAGCCTTGGTACTTACTTGCCTGGGAGAAGTTCAATTTTTCTCAAAACATCAAATATTCTCATAGTCTTTGGCACTGATTCAAGTCATCAATATCATTCACTGGAAAGTCTGTTGTCTACTAATCAAATTTAAACGACAAATATTATCACAAGAGTACACTGAGAGGTAGTTGGACTGAGTTGTTCTTCTGGAGAGGGTTATTCAGTGAAATATTGTAAAGCAGTACATGTTGGCGAAACATTTTTATATATGTGCTTACAAATTTCTGTACCCTAAGAATCTAGTATTGAATCCTTTTCTTTTAGTCATTTTATTTTTTTCTACTACAATATTAGAGAAAGGCATATCTTTCTAAAATCTCTAAAATTAGTTTTAAACATGTTTTAATGCTAAAATAGAATGTTGACCTATTTATGGACAAATCCAGATTTGATCAGAAAAATACTTCAAATACAGAATATGAGCTAAGTGTAAATAATTAAAGTGTAAATTATGTATTCATACACATACAGTATTTATATTGTTATATTTATGGTACATTAACTCCAAATTATTTTTCCTTTTTATTGAATTTATTGGTGTGACAATGGTTAACAAAATTATACAGGTGAAATTATACAGGTTTCACGTGCACAATTCTACATCATATGTATATTGTATTGTGTATTCATCATCCCAAGTCAAGTCTCTGTTGATCATTATTTATTCCCCCTAAACCCTCTTCTACCTTTCCCCCCCCGACGTCCCCCTGGCAATCACCACACTGTTGTCCATATCCATGAGTTTATTCTCTTTCTTGCTCAGTCCCTCCACACACACTCCAACAACCTACACTCCCGACCACTGTCAACCTGCTCTCTATCTATGAATCTGTCCCTATTTTGCTTCAGTTTCACTAACTGTAATACATGTTCAGATTCTCTGATCCTTCCTGATTTAGTTTTGGAAGATTGTATGATTCTAGGAATCTATCTATTTCTTCCAGATTGTCCAATTTTTGGCATACAGTTGTTTGTAATATTTTCTTATAGTCTTTGTTTTTCTGTAATGTTGGTTGTTACTTCTCTTTAATTTCTGATTTTATTTACTTGGATCCTCTCTCTTTTTTGATGAGTCTGGTTATAGGTTTGTTAATCTTGTTTATCTTTTCAAAGAATCAGCTCTTGGACTCATTTATCTTTTGTACTGTTGCTTAGACCTATAATAGCTGGGGAAACTGAAGCAGTAATCAAGAAACTCCTAGCACACAAAAGCCCAGGGCTGGATGGTTTCACAGGAGAATTTTACAAAACATTTAAGGAAGAGCTAACCCTTGTCCTTCTCAGAATATTCCAAAAAGTCCAAGAGGAGGGAAGACTCCCAGACTCTTTTTATGAGGCCAGCATCACCCTAATCCAAAACCCAGAAAAAGACCCTACAAAGAAAGAAAACTACAGGCCAATTTCGCTCATGAACATAGACGCTAAAATCCTCAACAAAATATTGGCAAACCCCATCCAGCGACACATTAAAAAGATTATCCACCACGATCAAGTGGGATTCATCCCAGAGATGGTTCAATATACACAAATCAATAAACATAATACATCACATAAACAAAAGGAAAGAAAAAAACCACATGATCATCTCGATAGATGCAGAAAAAGCATTCGATAAGGTATAGCACCCATTCATGATCAAAACACTCAGTAAAATGGGAATAAATGGGGCATTCCTCAATGTAATAAAGGCCATATATGAAAAACCTACAGCCAACATCATACTCAAAGGGCAAAAACTAAAAGCTTTCCCACTAAGATCAGGAACATGACAAAGATGCCCGCTTTCACCACTTCTATTCAACATAGTATTGGAAGTCCTAGCCACAGCAGTCAGACAAAAAAAAAAAAGAAAAAAAAAAGAAATAAAAGGCATCCAAATAGGAAAGGAGAAAGTAAAACTATCATTGATTGCAGATGACATGATAGTGTACATGGAAACCCTGTAGACTCCACCAAAAAACTCCTCAACCTAATAAGTGAATTTGGCAAAACGGCAGGATACAAAGTCAATATTCAGAAATCAAAGGCATTTTTGTACACCAGCAATGAAATAGAAGAAGAATAAATCAGAAAAAAACCATTTGATATAGCAAGAAGAAAAATAAAGTACCTAGGAATAAACTTAACGAAGGAGGTAAGAGACCTGTACGCAGAAAACTATACAACACTGAAGAAAGAAATTAAGGAAGGCACAAATAAATGGAAGCATATACCGTGCTCATGGATTGGAAGAATTAATATCATCAAAATGTCCATACTACCCAAAGCAATTTATAGATTCAATGCAATCCCTATTAAGATACCAATGACGTATTTCACAGAAATAGAACAGACATTTCAAAAGTTTATATGGAACCATAAACGACCCCGAATAGCTGCAGCAATTTTGAGAAAGAAAAACAAAGTAGGAGGGATCACAATACCAGACATCAAACTACACTATAAAGCCACTATACTCAAAACAATCTGGTACTGGCACAAGAACAGACCCATAGACCAGTGGAACAGAACAGAAAGCCCAGATATAAGCCCTGGTCTATATGGGCAACTAATATTTGACAAAGGGGGCAAAAGCATAAAGTGGAGTAATAATAGCCTCTTCAACAAATGCTGTTGGGAGAGCTGGACAGCTACGTGCAAAATATTGAAATTGGATCGTCAGCTGACACCATACACAAAAATAAACTTAAGATGGATAAGAGACTTAAATATAAGTCGCAACACCATAAAAGTCCTAGAGGAGAACATTGGCAGGAAACTCTCAGATATCCCACGCAGCAATTTTTTTACTGATATGTCTCCCAAAGCAAGGGACATAAAGGAAAGAATAAACAAGTGGGACCTCATCAAAATAAGAAGCTTCTGCACGACTAAAGAAAACATCAGCAAAATGAAAAGGGAGCCAACCCTATGGGAAAATATATTTGCTAGTGATACATCAGATAGAGGTTTGATCTCCAAAATATATAAAGAACTCACATGACTCCACTCTAAGAAGACAAATGATCCAATCAAAAAATGGGCAAAGGACCAGGGCAGACACTTTTCCAAGGAAGAGATATAGAGGACCCAGAGACATTTGAAAGGATGCTCAGCATCACTAGCCATCAGAGAAATGCAGATCAAAACCACAATAAGGTACCACCTCACACCGGTCAGAATGGCCATCATAAACAGATCCACAAACAACAGGTGCTGGTGAGGCTGTGGAGAAAAGGGAACACTAGTAAGCTGTTGGTGGGAATGCAGACTGGTGCAGCCATTGTAGAAAGCAGTGTGGAATTTCCTGAAAAGGTGAAAATGGAACTGCCTTTTGATCCAGTGATTCCCCTGCTGGGATTATACCC